ATATATATATATATATATATATATATATATATATATATATATATATATATATCCGAAAGCGTATTTGAACAAAGTTCGTATTACGAGATGAACGGTAATAGCTGGTTTGCCAGTTGTTTAATGCACTTTCTCCCAACGATGTTACAAAAAAGAAAATGATAAAACGAGTAACCATTTTTTCTTTATATATCCTGCACATATCCTGGAAGCTGCTTATTTGACGTAAACGTGGTTGAACAATTGCATTTGCGTATTAGATATTCAAGCCGATCGGGTTTATATTATAATCGTGGTTATGAAGCTTTTGTAAGAAAAATAAAGGAAAAAGAGAAAGAGAGAAAGAAAGAAAAATTTTATTTTTTCTCTATATCGAAGAAGCATAGTATCTTGGACATTAACTACTCTAAAACAAAAGTTAAAGAAGGGGATATCAAGTGTTTTTGTCTAAATCTTAATTTTATTTTTCACTTTTTATTTATTTTTAATTTTATTTTCAAACATTTTAAATTAATTATTAAATTTTAATAATTTCTCTCTCTCTAGTTTTTAACTCAAATTGAATTTAAATTTCGTCTTTGATGTGCAATTGTTGCTTTGTAGTGGAAATAAATTATTATGTGTGTACATTTATTACAAATATTGTTAAATATTATTACTGTTTCGAAATTCCTGAAAATTTATGATCCTTAATATTTGCGATTATCTAGATCAGTTGGTTAATCCTGTAATTCGAAAACAATATAGCAAAAGCGCGCGCGCGTAAGATGTCCTATATATTTGACCTTCTTAGTGATTTCACAAGTCTTTTATAATATTGTCTTAAATTTTTGCAAAGTTTGTGGTTTTTTTTTCTCAACAATATTTATAAAGTTTTTTTTCAGATAATTATATTTTTTGTAATAACATTTTCTACGAACATTATTAAAGTAAATTTTTTTAAAGATTACAATACAAAATTTAACAATCTAGCAACAGCATGAGGTATTTATTGCATCGCATTAAATATATACTTAAATCTTGTAATCTTCAAATCCATGTTTGCAATTTAAATTAATATTAAGATTCAATACACCTTATTATGTGATGTCATTAATTACAGTTCTAAATTGTTCTGAATTGTCAAACTAATTACACTATTTTGTGTTATTACCGTGCTATAGTTTCACATAACATTAATACGTTGCATTCAAAACGGACATATACGATGCCGATGCTTTTATGATCTAAAACAAGATAAAATGAATTATTTTTCGTAAAGTATGCGTATATTACGTAGCAAATGTTGACATAAATTAGAGAAAGTACAAAAAATCGAACACTTGTATATCAAGAAATATCCATAAACTTACACTTGTAAAGGTTTCTAACGATAAATCTACCATGTTTCCGGCTGTAATATTCAATTGCTTCTGAGATCTCATGATTATGAATAATATATTCTTCCTGTGACTAGATGACTTATTGTACCACAAAGAATCGTATCCTGCATCGCCAAGTAATTTACTCTGAAAATAATGTAACAAACAAATACTCAAATAAAATGAAATCTTTCTTTAATAGAAAAATTAGGAACAATTTATAGCCCATGTAATATCACAAAATTTTTAAAATAAAGATATAAGAAGATGACGAAAGAATTTATCACGGATTCTCCCGGATTTATTATAGCATTCCCTTGAAGAAAACATATGGATAATGTAAAACTATCATAGACAAAATCAAAAGACAACATCAAATTATATTATGATACATATGTAGTAAAAAATATATAATATTAAAATATGTATTAATAATATATATAATAATTATTAAAGAGGATATATTAATAATTGTATATTCTAAAAAGTGTACCTTCTATAATTGTTTTCGCAAGGAAATTGTTCCGGATGACTGAAATGCTTATAATTAATAATAACTTAAAAATAGTTAAATTAGATTACTTGAAAAAATTATTTAAAATTAATGGTTTTCAAATAGTCACTAACCTTATGGCCTAGGTGTTCTCCGACAAAACAATATATGAAAACTTCCATTGTTACGCCGAAGTAAGCAAAGAATATTTTAAGCAGGGTGATGATATGTATTGAGTGAGACTGTTTCATTCAAATAATCAGAAGAACTGAATCAATTACGATATCGGTCACTGTGCACTCATATACGATACTCACTGTCATAACAACGAGTCCTAGGAAGCAAATTATTATGGTATCACCAAAAACTAGCATCAAAGCTATGTAAGAGAAGAGTCTATCAATATTTTTGGAAAATGAGATGACTTTATTATGATTCTGGATCAACATTCTTGTTGTATAAGCCAGAGATCCATTACTTTGTATTTCCTTAGAACTAGCTTTCAACTCTTGACACATGATTTCGATTTGTCCGGACGCATGAGAGACCTAAAATATACTTAAACATCTGCAAACATTTCAAGTATTATGTTTAAGAGAGGAATTGCATTTGGGAAGATATCGCGATTAAAGGGAAGAAGAATGCAGAACCCAATGTTCCTCACATGTGTGATGATAAAAATTATTGAATTATACCAATCTTTCCACCTATTATTAATAATTATTTATCTACGTCAAATCTTTGACAACGTCAGAGTTTTCGCCTAAGTGAGTTTTGCAAACTAAATTAAATTACAGGTAATGAAATATGCCTCGGCGATATTTTTGGCATGTGGGTCTAATGTTCGTAGCATTTTGCAAAACGTACCAGACTAATTATGAATGCAGTGAGAAAATTGTCTAGATATGCCACTGACATCGAATGCAGGTACAAGACGAGGACGATCCAGGCGTAGATCGGCGATTGCTCGGCATCAAACGGAAGTAGTAACTTCGTGGGAAAAGGTCGCGAAGTAACATTGTATCCCCGTAGAATTTGCACGATAGCTACCAAGTTATCTCCTCCGAAATATAGTGAACCAGTGATCGTATTGTAATAAAACAAAAAGTGCGTACAAAACTTCGAGAAGCTAGCGTTTGTCTTCATTACGTGCAAATGTTGGTCGACCTTCATGCACTCCCGCCAATCAATATCCATAGTGGTCAATAATTCGCGAACTAAGCTGCAACGTGTTTTTTTAATCGGACAGAGATACTTCTAGAGGCGTTATCATTTGAATAAACAATAAACGAGGCATTGATTACTTTTTAGGTGATGTATTTAGTAAGTCACGTTCTTCTTTAATGAGAATTAGCAGACAAACGATACACACTGAGAAACTCCGCGTCAATTACTTTACACGAATACACAAACAAATTGCAGAAAAAGAAAGTCGCGTTGCTTGCCATAGTATCTTACCGATGATGCATCCAAAGTGTGAACACCTTGAAGCTGGTTAAGCTATAATATACAGTCCCCGGCAAGCTGTCTGCGAGACCATGGAACTCACCGCGCTTGCAGATCATGTATATGTACTGATACTGAAAGTACTGCACGAGGAGTGTAGGCAGCAGATAAATCAGCTGGTTGACGAAGGAGAATGATACATCCGGCCAAATACCGAATATTCGGAGAGCATATTTCAGCAATGGACAAATAGTGCTTGTGACTACCATCTGTCGATAATATCAAAGATAATCAAGAAAGTAGAAATCGGAGCACGTACAACACTCTCGTCTACGATGAACTAAGAGAGTGCCTAACAATTCTCCAAGTTCTGCCCTACGTACTGCGTGCCTACATCGGTGAACAACGATCGGTCGTTATTGGTCGTACGTGTTGGGTACTATAGCAGTAAGAGTCGATATAAAAGTCGGAGCATGTACTGCACTCGCGTGTATGATAAACTGAAAAAGCAT